AACCGTCGTCAAGGCGCGCCATTGCGGCTGTGGGTATACTCGGAGCTCGGGGAAAGGGAACTCTCCCGTCTGTCTCCAGAGTTCGATAGTGGCCTCGATCTCGGGCGTCCAGAGCAGGTTGGGCTGCTGTGGAGACTGGGGAGACTCTGGCATCATGGCAGTTGGACTGTCCATGTAGTCGCAGCGAACCTGGTGCTTGGTGCAGTTGCGGCTGGTAGATGTTAGTACATGAGTCGTAGACAAAGAAGTGTTGGTGCTTACCATTGCGGGAATGTTTCATCACAGCGAATATGCCGCCTCTTGCACGTCTTGCAGCCCTTTCGGGACTTGGTATGGCTGCGCCTTGAAGGGCCTCCACCGGGACCAGCCATTTTTCAAGAGGAAGATGAAGTAGTTTAGCGAGAGTGGGAAGTGGACCGTACGGCGTGGTCGTGGTAGCACGTCAGGGCACAGGATCAGTCGCAGGCAGTGTTCTCTTGTTGTGTGGTATGCGAGATGGACGGGAAGGTGGGATAGACGAGGGGCTGTGTATATGCGGGCGGTAGATCTGGCGAGCGGTTGATAAAGCGAGGGTAATGGGGTCGAAACCGGTGACTAAATTGGACAGGGTGGTGATTTGGAGGCTGTTCGTGGGCGTTCTGGTGATATATAGTGCAGAGTGCAGATGGGATGAGCTTAGATAGCTCTAGGGCTGGAGAGATATTGACGCAAGGCCAGCAATACCTCCGGCGGACAGGCTAAGAGGGTACGACAGGACGACGTGACAGCGGAAGTGGTCAAGCTCGTCTGCAACCTACCCCCTGCACAATGACCATGCAGGATGAGGACAAGGCTATGGACTAGAGGCTCGCCAGGCTGAAGAAGGGACTTGGGTGGTATGCGGGCAAAAGCGCAGGGTGACTTGTGCTCGGTCCCAAAGACGACAAACGTCGAGAAACGGGGCCAGGTAGGGTTAGCCTGAGGTAGCGTCCACACAAATAGCAGTGACGCCACGAGCGGCGGAAGAGGGACTTGGGTGGCAGCCCGCGAGACGGGAGAGGCTAGCAGGGAGGGCAGAGAAGCTTGCGGGAGCTACAGACGATGGAGTGACTGATTGCCAGATGGCACCGGCTGGCTCCTGCTCGTATGACATAGCCCCGGTGTAACTCCCGTGGGGATTAAGGTTCCAGCGAGACGTGAACCCTCGCAGTCGGCAGGGCGCTTTCAGACATGCAGCACGGCGTCCCTCAAAGACTCTGGACGTGTTTGGATGAATGAAGCGGCCCCTGTCGGGCGAGGGTTGAGCCCAGGGCTAGGGTGCAGTGTGAAGGTGCTAGTTCGCCGACGGCCATGTCGCAGAAAGCAGCCTTTGGTGGCCCTCTGGTCAAAGCCCCTGTCAATCCGCTTGGGACGGAGACGTTTGAGCGTGCAGGTGCATGAGCCGCTCCAGCTGGGGCTCGGGCTCAGAGCGCAAGAGGCGTGAAAAACGGCCATTCAGGTCCGACGACCGAGGAAACGCCAACAGCTGCGCGGGCCGTGCGTGGAGAACGATCGACCAGTAGCACCTGGATAGCTCGCTGGCCATGCTGTAACGGGTAGTTGGAAGCCGCCTGCGGAATAGTGGGTGAAGGAGGCCGCCATGCTTGCTCGCCGGGTCAGCTTCGGGGCGCGCGCGCTGCTAATTTTTCAGACAGCTCCAGAGCCCTGAGTGAGGTGGCAGCGCCCACGCGTGACGGGCGTGACGGGCGACCACGGGCGACATGGATGCCCGACATCTCATCAACGCGAAATGCGAAGCTGGACTCTGCCAGCGACGTCGGTCGAATCAGACTGACGTTGCTGATGCGATGCCACCAGCGATCGCTAAACACTGCGGAAGCCGGGGCCCTCAATATCTCGCGGTCAAAAATAGCCCTCCGTGCGTCACCTGTCACCAGACCGCACGCAAAAAGGGTCTACACTCTCATCGCGCTGATTTTCCATCGATACTACGCTGGCCCATCCTCACGCCGCTATCCTCATACCGCTCCTTCGCATCCAGTTGCGCCGAGCAGTGGCGGCGGACCTCGCTCTATTCCTGTCTCCGCTATCGACGGAAGGGCGCCGCGCGATGAATAAGCGTGACTTCCGCTCCGACGAGTGCCACGAGTGAGTGACTTCGCCTGTGGCATCGCGAAACGCCATCGCATCACTGGGTAAACAACCTAGGAACCTCCCCCGCTGGCAATATCTCATGCAGCGGAGAATGCTTGCTGGCGGGGCCTATACAGTAACTGAGTAATTACGCGACCCTGCTGGTGGGCGCCTGACACAACAGCCTGCATCCACATATCGCAGCTGCTGTGACGATATCTCGATTTCGTCGCCGACGTCCCATAGGGCTGTACCTATGACGTTGTCTATACGCGCGATTCCGTCGCGACCGTCGCGTGGTGGAGCACAAGTAGCTGCCACGAGATACGAGTTCTAAACCAGGAACCAGTGGCATCGCGGCGGCACCCGTCGCCTACCTACCAGCTACCTCTTGCAACCACCGAGGCTAAAACTCTACTAGATGACATAGCGGAATGCGCGAAAGCAGGTTCATGCGACAACATGTGTATTCGCAGGCTAGTCTTCCTTCAGCCACACGCCTACGTCGAGCTGGTGTTTGGTTGTCATAGATCCGTGGTGGCTATTCTTAGGATTAAGGTCCTTTTACCCTGGGAGTTTGCAGCCGACCATGCATCTAGGGCTACCCATGCAGCCATGTTTTCTCTGGGGTTCTGCGACTAGGGTTACAAGACACCTCTCCACTCGCATCTTTCGTCCATCGTCGCATCGGTCTTTTCCGATGGCCTATTCGCCTTTTCAGCGTAGCCTCAGCGTCGCTCCAGCGTACACTAAGCCAGCGCACTACTAACCGACTCAGCGATTCAGCAACCACAAAAAACATCCGAACGTTACTATACATACATTTTATGACGTCTGAAGAGGCTTCATGTCGCGACACCACACCGTCAGTCACACGACAACAAGACATCGCAGCCAAGCCGGTTACCAAATGCAAGTTTTGACACAAAATGTCGAGTTTTCAGCGCGCGCGCGCAATACACATTCCCCAGCCATCTGCAAGCCACACTTTGCACCTGCACGACCATGCAAAGCATCCCTCTCCACCCGTCGGCCCAGAGCTATAAAAAGCGTCGCACCCTGAGCTACCATTGGCGCGGAAGCGATTTCTACCGGCAAGTGTGGCAGGCGACACAGAGAAATCACACAGACACTTCCTCTTCTCCGCCCTCACGGGCCATTGCGTGCACTGTGATGTGAGCTGTCAATTCCTCCGAACGCTTTAGGGGGGTTTGATCCACCGGCCGAACATGCACGACTATCAATTGCAAAATCAACGTTTTGATATTTACGCATATCTACTGTGTATCGTCGATCTCACATCCCAGACACACACCACCACATCATACTCACCCCTCCAATCCTCCATATTGCCAATATATCGCCCACTACAGAGCCCGCCTATGCAAGCCAACCCGCCTGAACCCTACACTAGAAGCTACAACTATCATTCACCCCAATAAGCCTAAAGGCAATGCCAATTCCAATACTCACAACCAACCAACCAAGTACCTAATTATGCCACAACTAAACGATATCGTAACCTGATACATAACCACACATTGCCAATCGTCATGTTGCGACGGCGAGCAATACCTCCGTAACCTGAAACATTCGGCCTCGGCCGTAATATCACTCATCTGGCAGGTAATCAGGCCGATTGCCTTATCCACTAACTTCGCTATTCCAAGGTTCTTTCAATAGATTAAGTGACCCCACACGTGATCGACGACCGGTATGCTGAGTCAGTTGCGAAGTCTTCGCTTTTCGGCGAGTCGTGAATGCATGGTCGTTCAGCATGGACATTCGGCATGGGAGATACACAGACTATGGATATGGGGGTTTGACGTGAATATTGGGTGGCCTGATACCGGTGCATGTGTTTCAGATCGCGGGCGATGTTACATGCTGGTGAAGGTGGGGGGAGAGGGGAGTTTCAGCTGTCAATGTTTGTCGGCGGTACCGGGCGCTTGGGGTGGATAGGTGGGTATGTGTGTGTGGTTTGTGCGGCTTGTGCTGTGGATGAATGAACGAATGTACGAGTGCGTTATGTCATCGGATGTGGTGGGAATTCGGATTCTTCGAAGAAGGGAGGCATGGCCTGTTTTTGGGGGTTGAGTTGGGACTTGAGAGTAATGCAGTTTCCTTCTTTTGTATTTGGGTTTCGATGCTCAGCGAAAGTCCATTCATCACACTCATGACTCATCACTCCCTTCCCTCTGCTACCCTCTTAAATCTTCCCGACCCTCCTACCATCCAATCCTCCCACCCCACCCCATCCCCCAATCTCATCTACGTCCCCCAACTCCACTCATCCCACTCCTCCCTCCAAGCCACCGGCTCCAGCGGCCCCTCAACCTCCAATATCTGACCCAACGCACATTCGTCAAAGCTAACCTTCTTCTGCTTCTCCAAGTAAAACACATCGTACCTTTCATGCATAGCGTCTTTCAGGTTGCGTACATTGCCCTCGGGATGCAGTTTCTCCCATGGTCGCGTGCACACACGGCCTTTGCAGCGCTTGAGCGTGAGGAGGAGGGCGTCGAGGCGGGCGGTTAGGGGGAGGATGGGGTAGGTGTTTATGTGAGTGGTGGAGGAGGTGGTGTTGGTGTTAGGTGTGGAGAGGAGGTTGATGAGTTGGTATGGGTCGGTCTGCCATCCTTCGTCAGTATCCACCTCCCCAAGCCCGTGAGGTAAAGATTGAGGAGGAGAGGGGAAGACAAAGTAAACGCAGACTGACCTTCATATCATAAAGCTCCCGCTCATTCGTACACCAAACCGTGTAACTCAAATCATACTCCTCCCCCACCACCCTCACGCTCTTATACGTATTCTCCGCCCACACATCCCGCCCATAAAACGCATTCCCCTCCACAAGATACTCCCCCCAAAACTCAACATTAACATGCTCACTCTTCCCACCCCTCTCCTGCATCGCCCCCGTAACAGGAATAACCTCCCCGTCAAAGTCACCCCGGGCTGGTATACCAGCGAGATGAAACAGCGTAGGCACGATATCCGTATGACTACTCGGTATATCCATCACTGCGCCTTTGGCAACGCCCGGGCCGCGGATGAAGAAGGGGATGTTGATATCTTCTTCTATGCCGCAGGATTTACCGGGCGGGAGCCGGTGTTGGCTGATGTGGAAGCCGTTGTCGGTTGTATAAATCAGATAAGTGTTTTCCAGCACCTCGGGGTGTTCGCCCAGACGGTTCATGATGGACTCGATGAGGTCGTCGACGGATTGGAGGGTTTGCAGGCGCGCGCGGTACCAGGCGTCGTTGTACGCGATTTCTGAGGCGTTGAGCGGGCGGAGCGTGGAGAAGTAGGATGCTGTTCCTGGCTGCATGGGGTTGGGGGTGTTAGATGGGGTGTGCAGTGCGGAGGGGGAGGGGACATAGTGTAGTACCTTGGAGGGGTTGAAGTTTGGTGTTCGGGGTACTTTTACGTCGGGGAAGAGATGCTCGTGTCGCTTTGCGGGGACGGGTAGGTTGAACTTTGTGGGGCGTGGGTTGGTGATTGTTTCTGAGTGAGGGGCTATGGGTGCGACGCCGATGAAGAATGGTCGGTCTGGTGCTGCGATGGCTTCGTCTAGGAAGGAGACTGCGGCGTTGGCTACGAGGTCGGTTGAGTACTCTCCTGGCGAGTTTCTGTAGACGTCGTGATTACGTGTCATGGTTGAGTTGTAGAAGACGTATGTTCCGGGGTCGATCAGGACTGCAGGTGTTAGTCTCTGGACAGCATCGCTGTAGTAGTATTGAGATGCTCACAGTCAGAACTATTCCAACCACTGGCTCGTGGTGCATCGTATGTAGAGATGGAATGTCCGTTCATCAGCTTTCCAGTGTAATAAGTGTTGTAGCCCGCCTCCTGAAGCCATACGGGAAGATAAGCATCATTGAAACCTTCCTCGATGAATCTAGGATATCCGCCTGCTAGTAGTCAGTACAGTTTTCTAGCTTATCATCTTTGTATCCCACGTACCGTAAGGAGCTGAGACATCCGTGACATTCGTGTTATGGGCAGCTTTCCCAGTCAAGAGCGATACTCGTGACGGGCAACATAGTGCTACGGTGCAGAAATGCTTCTTGAACCAAGTACCTTCCTGGGCGAAATATTTCTGCACAGCAGGCTGGTAGTCGAGCGAGTTCAGATGTAAGTCCTGATCATCTGTAATGATGAAGATGAAGTTGGGTTTGGAAGAGCGCCCTGTAACAGCGGCTACACCGAACGACAGCAACACTAGAATTCGACTTGAAATCATGGTTGTGAGTGAGAGTCGAGTTCTGTAAAATTCACAGTGTTGATATACCTTCGGATTCGTTTACACTCTGACGTATCTGGGTAGTCGCTACCCACGCCCATCGCGCGAAGTTGCAACTCCATTGCGTGCTCGGGAAGCCGACCAGGGTTCAGCACAGTCCCACTCACGAAGCATACTAGTAGACATAGCTGCCAATAGGACGGAAGGGAACGTGATAACCGATGCGAATGGAATGGAGATCTAGTCTTGAAAGGAGAAAGAACGTGACAGTATGAGCTTATCTTGGAGCCAGCTGAAGAGCGCCGTACCGCGCAGGGGGGGGTCTAGGATTAAGTGTCTTAATAGTTGTATTAGAATGTTAAAATTAAAAACCGTGTTTCTTTTTAATATAGTAATAAAGATAATATAGTAATATCTTAATAAGCAGCTAATATAGTATTTAATATAACGTAGTATTAAATTAGCGTTATAGATAAATGTAATATTATAATAGTGTTTATGTTAAATTAGTATTAAGCAAATATAATATTAAAATAAATATTATATTAAAACGCTAGTTAGCCTAGTTACTCTATTTTCTAGTAATATAACGTTAGTACTCTCTCTATTTAAATATTATAATAGTATAGTAATATTTAGATAGGCTATTACAATAATATATTCTAAATATTATAACTACTTTATTATTTAAGCTATCTATTATACATTTATATATAAGATTTAAGCCTAGAAAATAGCATATTAATTTATTCTAACTAATCTACCTTACTATCTATTATAGATTACTTACTACTTTTAGTGTAGCTAAGAAAAGCCTTAAACTCTAAAACTACTAATAATTACTCTACTCTAACTCTTTACTCTAACTATTATTATATATATTACTAATTCTAACTACTACTATTACGCTAACTCTTTATGCTAAAACGCGTTATATATAAGAATATGTTCTAGTAAGTTATATTACGTTAGTTAGGCTAATATAAGTCTTTTCTATTAGGTTTTCTAAACTACTCTTATTTTAGCTATTCTTAGTACTATCTACTAGGCTAATATAATAATAACTATATTCTTCTATATACTATACTAAAGAAAGTATTAGGTAAATAGTTTAATAGTTAAGATTTGCATTATATTACCTAGGCGCGCTAAAGTTGTCTCTATAAGCACTAGATTAGCTTAGAAAGTAGGCTTTTTATATTTAGTTTATTAGTAATAAAAAGTAATAGTTAGTTAGCTAGAAAAGCTTTTTATATAACTTACGTATAGATAAAAGCGTTATATATACTAATATAGACTTTAATAGAGTTATTAGCGTAGAAAGAGAAGGTAAAAGCTATATAGCGTATTTTTTAGACTTCTTAATAATTTACTATTATATTACGTTAGCTTAAGTTAAGTAGAAGAGGCTAGAGATATATAGAGAAATTTACCTTAGCGTACTTTATAGAAAACTACTATATCTAGCTTATAAGTCTAGCTAATATATAGAATAGCTACTATAAGACTTATCTATATTAAGGCTAACTAGCGTAAGGCTTACTCTTTCTCTTACTAATAGTAAGGTAAAGTTCTTACGTATTATATAGTATTCTACTAAACATCTCTAATATTATTATAGCTAAGCTATATTATTAGAAGTTAGATATTATAATTTTATATTATAATAATATATTACGTTACTATATTATATTAGATAAGAAGCGTTTTTATAGTAACTTCGCTATTCTAAGTCTAAAGAATCTCTTTTTTATCTACTATTCTTATTATCTCTATACTACTATTTAATAATATACGCTATTAACTATCTATACATAGTATATAATTCTTCTTTATTATCTAATAATAGGCTATATTAAGTCTTATATAACTATACAAATACTTAGTTTATATATATAGTTAGTACTAACTATAGCTATAAATTTACTTAACTAACCTAATTTTAGCTATCTACTATAACTCTACTTCTATAAAATTAATTACTATTTATAAAGCCTATAGCTATTTATAAAGTCTAACTTACTATTACTATTACTATTACTATTACTATTACTATTACTACTACTATACTTTAGATAGTAGTAAGTCTAAGCTTAGACCTAAAGTGCTGTAAATCTCTACTTACTACCTACTTACCTCTATCTCTTTTACTCTTACACCTACGCCTACTACTACTACTACTACTAATAATAATAATAATACACTTAATTATAAGATACCTAGAAAGGTTATAGCTACCTAAAGAAGAAAAAGAAGTTGCCTACTCTTAAGATTAAAGAGGACCTAGAGAATAAAACTATTAAGACCTATAAGCTTTTCTCTCTATATTCTACTATATATACTAATAAAATTTAGCCTTAGTAGTCTATCTATATAGTTATTAAGCTTACTTATATTTTGTAAAGCGCTATAGTTACTCTTACTCTAGGCTTCTTTAGGTATTACTATAATTTTTATAGCGTTAGTAGCTAATAAGTATCTATTACTCTATAGTTATAACTTATATCTAGTAGCTAATAATAGACTATTAGCGTGTACTTAGCTAGTCTATTAGGTATAGATAAGTAATAGTAATAACTTAATAGACTTTACTAATCTTTTTCTAGACTAAGAACGCACTTAAAACTAGCCTATCTACTTAGCGTAAGTAAGTCTAATATTACTATTAATTCTAGTAAATTACTTTTAAACTTTACTAACCTTTTAAAGTCTATTATACCTAGATAGCACCTCTCTAACCTTTCTTACTACTAGCTCTAATACTAAGTTAAAATCTTATTATTATATTCTCTCTTAAATATCTATTATTAGATATTAAATATTAAATATTAAACGCGTTAAACGTATAATATAATAGTACTATAAGAAGAATGTTAGTAGAACTTAGGCCTAAATATACCTATCTAAGCCTAATCTTCTAAGTTTAACTTAGTTATTCTAGTATAGATTTATAGTATAATATATATTACTATAGTAGTTATAGATATTAGTAATATATATTACTATAGTAGTTATAGATATTTAGGCTGCATATTACTATAGTAGTTATAGATGTTTAGACTACATATTACTATAGCAGTTATAGATGTTTAGGTATATAACACTATAGTAGCTATAGATATTTAAGAATATACCTAGAGTAGAAATGTTAAGGTCTAGAGTATTATCTAAATAGAATTCTAATTAGGTAGTAGAGTAGCTAAGAAGCTATAACATTACTATAATATTCTAGATTAACTAGCTTTAGAGGTAGTTATCTATTCTTAGGTCTTTGCTAAATATAATAACATTACAACTAAATCTAGACATCTATTTCTACTATAATTTTAATCTATTAGACCTAGAGAATTTTAATATTTTAACTATTTAATAGCTTATTAGACCTAAAGAATTTTAATATTTTAACTATTTAATAGCTTATTAGACTTAGAGAATTTTAACATTTTAACTATTTAATAGCTTATTAGACTTAGAGAATTTTATAATTTTAACTATTTAATAACTTATTAAACTTAGAGAATTTTGTAATTTTAACTACTTAATAGCTTATTAGACTTAGATAAACTTAAACGTTATACTATATATATTACTTAATACTTAGTAAATGTTCTATATAACCTTAAGTAAAAGTAGCCTATTAGAGATAATCTTTATCTATAATAGACCTTTTTAAATACTTACACTCTTAGAACATATCTATATTATTAGTAAGAGATAGATAAATATTTATATAATAGAAGTAAATTAGCTATAAATATAAAGTAAGAAAGAAGTAGAAGCTAACTAAAAGTATATATAAGACGCTGCTAGTAGTAAGCTTCTATACCTAAATTATTACTATATAGCTAGTCTAGCTAGTTACACTATAACTAGTAGATATTCTAATATTAGTACTATATACTTAGTCTACTTAAGCGCTATTTCTTTATATCTAGATTATATATTAGTAAGATTAGAAAAGTGTATTATCTATATAGAGATATTAATTAGTGTAAATAAGGTTCTAGTAGAATAATTTAGAAGCTATATATCTAAGATACATAATATTCTAGACTAGATAAGATGTTTTAGTTAGAGCTTTTATAATACTAAGAGAGAGATTTTCTCTTCTCTATTATATATTATAACTCTTAGATTTATATATTAGTCTACTTATAATCTCTATAGATATAACGCGCGTAATAGCTTTACAAACGCGTTACGTAAACTATATCTTTTACCTATAAGTACTAGATATTAAAGTAGCTTTATTAATTATTACTTTTATTAGACTTATATTATATATAAATTATCTTTTAATATAGTTTAGCACTACTATAAATAATAGCAACGCGCTATATATATTACTATTCTTAGATAGTAGTTGTAATAGGTTTACTCTACCTTCTCTAGAAATCTAGCCTCTCTCTATAGTAGTTAAATATTCTTAGCTACTAAGTATTACTAAATTAGAGTTACACTATAGACTAGTAGCTACTATATATATAAAGAATAGATTAAAATATATTACTATATATATAGAAATAATATACCTTATCTTACGCTCTTCTTCTATACGCAGTTAAATATTGCGCTATACTAAAATACCTAAGTATAATAAATCTAAAGCTTATAACTTTAGCTTTATAGTATATATATTTATTTTACTATCTATAATAATTAAGTTATACTTAATAAAAGTAGAAATTAGCTAGCTATAATATAACTTAGATCTTATAACTTATAAAGAGGTAGAATAGTAACTAGAAATAAAGTAGCTATATAGTAATACTATTACGTTATATATTGCGCTATATATAGAGAGAGAAAGAGAGAATAAGAATACGTAGAGAACTAGTAGCTTAAACTAATTTTATAATATATATAAGTAGTATACTATAACTTAGCTATAGAGATTAGAAAGATAAATATTAATTATATAAAGGTAGAGATAAACTCTAGCTAAAAGATAAAGTAGACCTAGGTATCTTATACGTATAACTCTATTACTAATATAATAA